ACGATTCAATTTCACAAAGCCGCGTCCCTGCTGCTTTGTCACGGGGCGGCCTGACACCTCACCAGTCACCAAGACCAGCACCACCGATCTTGCAGCGCCTAACAACGTCCACGTGCGTGAAGACGCATGACTCACCAGCATCCTCGATTCTACCTCGTAGTGGCTGAAAGTGCACCTCATAGGCCTGTTCTTCTGATGAAGGGGAAGGTCTGCCGAGTCGCGCTAATGTGTTTATTAATAGCTTTCTTCTCCACTCGCGTCCCACCCAATATGTCTTTGTTTTGGTCTGACTTTTTGGAAGTTGATGCACAAAATTATCTAAACATGTGTAGCAATACTCACGAAAACTCATTGCGAAGTTGGACTTGAAACATCAACTTTAGCATTGCCTTGTGCGTCAGGTCGGCTTCAAGTGTTGATTTTGACTTTGGTTTTACGCAACATGATGGGTGACTCTTTTCAGACAGAGTCCGAAAATTGAGATCTCTCACTGGCTGAAACTGACGTCTCAACAAAATTATTTGTCAGTTTTTCGTCATCCATAAAAGACCGGAATCAACTTTCATCAGGAAGAGGTTTTATGAAGTGTAGCACTACTGTCATGAACTCAGTGTTTGAGGAAAACCAAGTCATGTGAAAGAGTATTTTACTGCACGCCACACAGTGGGACGATGCCTTTGAACTTGTACATTCCGTCCAGAATCTGGGGAGTGAGATTCCACGACAGGACCACAAATCAAACATTGAAGTGTGATGGTGCAGAAGCGAGCGCCATAACGTGGAAGGGGGTTGCGGACACTCACACACACACACAAACACACATAGACCCATACATTAATTACAAGCCCTCACCTATGGCACATACTTTGGGACAAACGCAGTCTCATAGAGGCGACTGTGGGACTTATCCCTTCTGTCGAGGTTGGGAGCCCATGAAAACCACCAATGCACGATACTTACATGGAAAAGCCATGGAACAAACGAAAATTTATTTCACCTATACGAGTGAAAAGTCCTAGCTGTGATTGTGCATTTTCAGCCATTTTCAGCCATTAAACGCAAAAAGCTGACTGCAGCCCGAGTGACCAAAAGCACAAAAGCATGAAGTTGTAAAGGGAGTCAATTTTGACCCTGTTTCTCATGCACCTATAAATGCAACGCTATTCCTCAGGTTTTTGCAAATTTTAAAACGGACGATTTTGAGAATCGGTTGATTTGCTATTGTCGCTGTCCCGTGCCTCATCGGATTGGTCTGCGAACATTGCATAGCTCACAAACAAACAACCTAATTTCTATGCCCTTAGCAGTGGAAAGCTGGTGGGTCTATTGCATTCGACTTCTAGGATGCAATGGGAGACTTTTTGCGACTTTCTGCAAATCTCAGTAAAAGTGCTCTTTAATAGAGCAGATGCTTTTTATATTCATGATTTATTACTAATGGCTGCTTTGGGTAAACGGTAGGAATATATTCACTTGCCTCATTAAAAAATCGTGAATGTAATAACTTCCCAGAACTATTCATTTTTTTACAAAGAATCAGTTTCAGGATAAAGATTTGAAATCCTAAGTAAATTCGGCCAGATTTAAATTACCAGATTGTTGAAGTCTTTGGTGGATGAAGAATGAGAACGAAAAGTCTCGTCCAGTTAGAAGCATGCGACAAAACTGAAGACCTAATTACCAACACCAGAGTACCCAACCATGGTAACTCACCCTCAACGCGAAAAGCCGTCTTGATATTCATGGAGTCTAGTGTTCCATTAAGGTCGTGAGAGATGCCCTTTTCAGAGAAAGAGATCCAATTCGAAGCAAGGCCATTTGGGACCGTTTCAGTGCCTGTACGCATTTGGTAAAAACCCAACTGACCCTCTGACTGCTGCTTAAGAGGTGGCATTTTATGCACTAGTGACACTGAGGCACTAAAGTGACACCGCATCACAGCATGCTGTGCGTCTTCAGTCACAGCAACCTTCCGCATTGCCATTGGCCCTCGCGTCAGCCAATCAAGTTCTGCGCCGGGAAAATCCTTTGATAGTCCTCTCTGGAGGTGGTGGTGGTGGTGGTGGTGGCAATGCTTGTGCAGTTATGGCTGATGTGACTATGATCACCAAATGTGAAAACTATAATTGTTACAAGGTCATTTAGGTGGATGACCTTCTGACCCTTTAACATTCTGCCATGTTTATTATGCTTTGGCTACATCAAAATCAACGTTCGTGACAAAATCGGTTTTCACAATGATCTTCTCTAAACATTCGCAATTTCACTTGATCCAGTCTGTTTCATTGTGGCACACATTGATCGTTCGGTAGAGATTGTCTGATTTAAGCTCCAGCATTAGGAGATATACGCCTTTAAATGTTCAAAAAGCGGATGCAAATTTAAGCTAAATCTTACTATAATGCTTTCTTTTCAAAGATAGGAACACAGGTCTTACTACCCGAGAAGAAATATGCTTAAATTTCACCGAAAGGATTAATTTTAAGTACGTCGTAAATTTAAGGAGGAGACAGCGGTGCAATTAGCGCAAATGTGCACTAAGTAGGCGCGACAGTTCCTCCCAGTTGTCAGTATGACGGAGACTAATTGACACCAAACTGATGTCATTGGTAATGACCCTGATGCATCCGACATCTTCGCTCCTACTTTTGTCGAGGAGATGTTTTTCTTATGTTGTTCAAAACACTCTCATGTGTTTGGGCTGGCACTCTCTCACTATGTTCAGCCTAATTGTTTTGCTGTTTTGTCTAGACAAAGTGCGTGTGTTTGTGCGAAAAAAAAATTACATCACCTCCAAAGACCGCTTTCTCCTAAGTATGAAAGCACACAGACATAAACGCACACCGATATGGACTTGACTCTTATTACCTGGACTAACTTTAGGTGGTGAAAGTTCCTACACCATCTCCAGAAAAGTTAGATAAATATTAAGGTGAATGGAATTAGCAAGGTAGCAGACGAAAGGCACTTATAGTTTAAGAATGTGGAATTATGTCCCTAATCAAGCTGGCCCAGTTCAAACACAAAAAAACGCGATGAAAGATTAGAGTGAGAGTAAACAGGATCTGGTTGTGATGCAAAGAGAAAAAATTGACTCCGGACATTGGCTTTGCTAAATCACGCTCCCCTCGACGATTCCGCATGTGTGCGCGCGTGTCTAGTGGGTTAGACGGGTAGAGGAGGTGGGGGAGGTGGGGGAGGGGAGCGACTGATTTATGCTGACTTAGTTTTCAATCAGACTATACCTTCAGACCTGTAGGAATGCGTACAGATGATTTGGACAAATGATCAGATTGTCTTGCTGAGGCACAATAGGTGTGAATCTTGGACGCTGCTGCATCCTCTGTGACACCTCTACGTAAAATTCTCCCTCACCATGATCAGTACTTAAAAAACTCATTTTATTTTGCTAATTATTGAGTTCGAAATAGGTGAGCATTACTGTAAGCAGAAACATTACTTTCTGAGGGCAACTGCAAAATAAAGCAAACGCATAGAATGTATGCAGGCATGAGGTGAGACCACACTTCCATCCAACTATCCACCGAACACTAAATGACATAGGCTTAGTACTTAATTGACAATTCCGAAGACTTTAGCGAAGCTCTACCTACGCATTTACTCAGCTGCAAACTGAAGAAAAGCATTTGTTTGGTTATGTTGAGACCAGATTTAATCTAACATGCAGCACTTAATATTACTCCGAAAACATTGAGCACTCCAAAAAGGGCGAAGGAAAGTAGGAAGAGATTAAGTTGGTTGAATCCCTCGTTGACCGGATGGATCACTTTAAACCTGCGTGACGGTTAGGCACTTGGAAGTATCGAGTTTACGTAACACTGTCATCACTTAACGTGTGGAGGGATTTTGTCCCTACCTTCCAAATAATTCACACAATTTATACAGCATAAAAGCTGGTTCAGTCACATGAAGAGCAGTTGTGAGTGGGTAGAAGATTACACAGAGCCACAGCTGGGGGCGCTCACTTCGTAGCCAATTTCGATCTGGATACGAATTTGCCTTATTTTCGGTGAACTGTGAGCTCTGCTACTGTTCCTACCAAATACACGTAGGCATTTAGGACTAACAGACGAGGGTATAGCCCAAAATAAACGAAAAATAGATGCTGCAAATCTCAAGAATGCGCACTGGAAACCATTAAACACCAGATTGGCACACCCTTTCGACCATCTACCCCAATGACTACCCTGTCAGATTGAACTCACTGCATGAGTGATGCTGCTTTCGGAAGGCCACTTACCACTGGGAGGCAGCAGTGGTGTACAGACCCCAATCTTAAAGCCTAAAGATCCAAACACACGCAGACACCCAAATAACCGGCACAGTGCAGTGCGGTAGTGGATGCAACATATTTTGCGGGACAACGGCGTCGGCAGCTGTCGGCTAGATCAAAGCTCGCGGTCGGTGCGGTGTGTGCCACAAGTCGTAGTCGTGTTTGTAGTTGTGACTTTCTACACACACACACACATACACACAGACACATTTGTAATATTTTATTGCGCAGCTCAAGAGCCAAAGAGCGAGGCTGCGTGTATGCGTACGTGTGTGCGAATGCAGAAGCAGGGGTGTTTGAAGTTGTCTGAGGCCATAATTTTCATGCTAAGTGAACGCCTCTCTATCTCGGGCTCTTGCGTTTGCGCTAGTGCGCAGGGACTAGTCTCTAAGGTATTTACGATATCCCATAGATGAGGGGAAGCTGAAACGAATGGTATTTTCGAATGCCCTTGCACCATCCTTCACTCAAACAAGTGTGCAATTCATCGTCAGTTAATGGAAAGTTGATCTTAATAGGTCACTTTCACATCGATATGCAAACCAAATCATCTGTCTGGTAAATTACCTCTAAATCTAGTTTACTTTGCATGTTCCATTTAAAAATTTCACCGCTGTGAATTGTTCTGATACACTTGAATTTTGAATGCACAGTTAATGTGAGATAACCAAACGTAAGACTTGAAGTACACGAGAAAGAAAGATGTTCATGGCCAAAGGTTATGATGAATGGGTTCGATATCAAGAATAACAAAAAGGAACGATCGCAAAAGTTTTTTTATTGAAACTGATGTAAAACCAAATAATGTATAGCAAGAGACCAATTTGAACATACCATCAAATTCTTCCTCTTCAAATGTGTCTTGGCAGTTGGGGTTGTGCAGAGGACAGCAGAGAGTATTCTGAGTGGCAGTACAAGGTCGCATTTCGATTTGTCCGGGTTTGCATTTCCTACAGGTCTGGCACCTGTCCGTTGCAGAGTCCGTCGACGACCAGGTGCCCTCAGCACAAGGCTTGCACACGCTGTTCTTGTTCCATTCACAGGGCCTTTAAAACAAAGTTCAATTAAACTTTCTACTAAAAACGTTTGACAGTAGACGATTTATTTTGGTATAGAAAGCGTACTTCTCAGCGCCTTGGCCAGGAGGACATTTAGTACAACTCTGGCAGGTGGAATGGGCTTCAATGAAGAAGTAGCCTGAAACACACTCACAGACGGCGTCCGATGTGGGTGTGCAGTGTTTGCGAACCTTGGCAAAGGGATGCAACTAAACGAGACAAAAGTGATGCAGCTTACGTTGCCTCTACTTAATCGATTTAATTTTTCAAGCTCTCAAAGTAAAGGACTTGGGACTAGTAATTCACTGATAAGTTAGATACGAAATGGTTTCAGATACTAGTCCTGTTCCCAAAACGCATGAACTCAATCATTTCTAACATTGCAAAGATCGCTTCGTCGGTCTTTAGCGACGCGATAAAATATATGTCTACTGGATACCTTTGGTTCAAGTATAATAGTGAATTGAACGTCATCACAAAATGCAAATGAGCAAAGCAAAACTTGATCAGTTTTGCTCAAGACTCAAGTCATTTGCTTAACTTGTATTTTTAGATTTGCCAAAAAATTAAATGGAGAGCTAACATGCTCTTATTGAAAAATCATAAAGAAAACATTCCTTCCAAGCACACTTGAAGCTGTAATCAAGGATCGAAGTGAATCTAGTAAACGATTACAAATTTGACAACGGAAATGCTCGCTTTCAAAAGGCTAATGATGTTTTCGAAATTGTGTTTTAGTTCCCTCAATTAGATAGTAGTAAACACGTTACCTCCTGACACTGCTTGCACTGCATACATTTGGCTGTCGCGGAGGCCTCCAAGGAGAACTCGGAGCCCTCTTGACAGGGTCTGCAGACAGTCTGTGTTTGATTAGTGCAGAGCTGAAGCATGCCCTCGCCCGGTGGACACTTATTGCAGCATCTCAATGGCCCGTTCAGGGTGGAAACCAACTCTTCATTTGGGCTAGGGCAGGTTTCCTACGGTTTTACGAATTTGGAAAATGTAAATAAAACTAGCTCAGTCATAAACTCAAGAAAAATAGCATAATTGCTCAGCTCACAGACAGTATCTCCTTCAAACGAAGAAAACTCTCATAAAACTGTGATGCTATTTACTTCCAGGCATATTTAAAAATAGCTATAGGAACAGACGTTGGTTGGATGACGACTGCTAATGCGCGCTAAGTGCTATTCATGCAGCTATTAGGGAGGGTGTAGGCAGATGCCACTTTTCGTTGAGAAGAAAGATGTGGCAATGTAGTATTTGAAGTTTAACAAAAGAAAAAAATAGGACACCTATATTGGACTTTCTCAAAGTTCATGAATTATTTAAAAATTGTGAAACAATTCAAATCTTAAAGCAGTGTACATAAAAACAAAGATGTGACCTCGGTTTAGACCGACATTGTTCTGTTCTCATCTGATTAAAAACGAAAGGAGCCACTAAATGAAGTGGTAAAAGACTAAGCAGAAAGGGACATGTCTGATCCTTCGGATCCATTTCTTAAAGTGAGTTAGCGCCCCGTTTCTGGAATTTGCAGCTAATATGCACATTCACATAGCACTGAACAGCATCATCGATGTCAACGAGTCAAGGTGGCAACTATTCATTTGGATCAAGTGTCAGCTCATTGGGCGAAAGTGTAGAAAATGATTTTACAAGTAGCGTCAGCCAATCAGATTGAACACTGGTGGTGATCATGCAGCAACACCAAATCTGCTGATACGGTCGCAAACCTAAACAGTGATTAATTCGTCATGGTTACTGGGTAGAGGTCGGCATTAGCCGCAGAAACACTGACGATAGTGACACCGACAAGCAAACCAGCGACAATACCAAGAACAACGCTGCATCATGATTGCAGTTTTCGCCTGTACGTGCGTGTACACTCGCGACGAGGTGTTCATTAAAATAACAATCGCTTTGATTTAACCGCCGCAGCCGCCACCGCCTCGTTTAAATTCCACACTCACGCACGCGCGCAAACACACAACTCCCCCTCCTCTCACACAAATGTGGTATCGTGTGTGTGTGTGTGTTGGCGGCTTCTCTTTAATGTTTATGCCTTGTGTCGCCCAATAAACAAAGCGCAAACATATTTGGAGGTAGTTATAAACACACCCACACGCACGCACACACATCACAGAGACTGTCGGTATCTGTGCCTCAGTTTTAGTCGCTCTCTGTTTCTCTCTTATTCTCCATCATGACACACGCATGCACGCACGTTTTCATTTCCGCTAAAAAAAGCCCGCGTCTGTTCACGCACACACACCTGCGCACCGTACTTCAAGGTCGAGGAAGGAGAGTGAGAGGGGAGGAGAGAGGACAATTACTTAGAGTAGAGCTCGAAATCATCCTGCCTACAGATGCAGCGGTAGATTAGATGTGGCTTTGATGTGTGTGTGCGTATGTATGTGTGCATGACAGTCATCCACGTGACATGCGTCAGAGCAACTTGAGTGGTGACGGGGCCTGTTGCCTCAGAGTGGCCGCCGTCGGCACCCAAAATCGACATTGTGCCTTCTCAACAAGGGACTGTACGTGCTAGTGTGCGTGGCTGGGTGTCGATACAGTTTTATGTGTGTGCGCTAAATGACGTTTTCGCTTTGATGTGCGCCTTGTGCAAGTAGGTGTGTGTGTGTGTGTCCATAAAAAGCAGAACAAAACTACTCCATGTGTATGTGTTTGCAAGTCATAAAATTTATGCCTCTACGCCTTGTACAAAACCGGAAAATTCACAAGTAAAATCACCTCGCACAGTGTCAAGTCTGGAACTGCTTGCATCGAGTGAAACTTGAACAAGTCCCTTTGCTCTAAGGGGGCGTTGAATAACTGAGACACAGCGCGCCGCGACGAAAGGAGAGCTCACAGGTGAACACATATGGAAGGTGTGCAAGCTTGTGCGTAGTACGACTGGCAAAATGAGAGCTCACAGCGGCGTGTTCGGCTTTGATGGATGAAAGAGGAACCATGTGTGTGCTTATGCAAACATATGTATGTATGCGTGAGATTGGGAGATGACGAGAATCAGGCAGAGAGGACTGCAATTTCGGTCGACCTTAGGTGTGAATGTGTACGTCTGTGTGTGGGTTCACCAAACATCAAAAAATAAATCACACTCCAGACCAGACAACCAGTGTACACAGACACTTCATTACTTGCATAAACCCCAGTCCATTTAGAGTCTGCGCGCGTTTTGTAGCTGGGCCAATAGGCATATTTTGACAAAATTTTCTTAAACCGCAAATATGGCCAGACGAGGTTTCAATACCCATTGCTAACGATTTCTCAAACATCAGCAAGAATATCAGATTAAGTAATTAGTGCTTGATACGAACGTACCTGTCGAATTGGATCCAACTGCGTGGAATTGAGGGGTTGTTGAAGAGCCTGAGGCATAGCAGAACATCGAAAGAAAGAGATGAGAGTCCAGATAATAGGTAGAATTGGCATTTTTTTGATAATATACTTCTTTGTGCTATCCCTCTTTAATTAGTATTTAAAATTGCGGCAAAGACTTCTCTTTCGGACGAGGATGTGTATGTGCGGGAAATGAGAGAGACGGCGAGAAAGACAGCGAGAGATGGAGAGAGAACACGTGAGACGCCGATGGGTGGCTGTGGGTATGTGTGTGTATGCGCGTGCAAGCAGGCGAGCAGGATAGCAAAAAGCGTCATTAGACCGCCCAATCCACATTTTATAGGTTACAGCAGCCAATCAGGTCAGTGGAGTGCCCTTCGCACAGGGAGCGCACGCAATCCGATCCTGCTGCGTCCATGGTTCAAGACATTCCAGCAATGAGGGCGAGATAATTCGGCAAGGAATTTACATACAAATAACTTGTTTAAAAAACAAAATATTATACGTTATTTTTGAACTTGTGAAATAAAAAAATACAAAAATGCAGACCCTAACCCATCTGACCAGCTGCGATCAGTCCATGAAACTCCTCAGAATTATGCAAAATTAAAAGTAAGCAATTTTACCTTTACCTTTGCCCTGTTTAATTCGCTGAAGTGGTCTAGGCGGGCTAATGCTAAAATAACTACTACTCCTACTACCCTTCGGGGACAAATTTAAGCAACTGCGTTTAAGCGGGTGTAGTTGGTCTCCTTTAAGAAGGATTTATTTAAGTAAGGCAATGGACGCATGCTATTTTACTCCGCCATTCATCGACTCTACTTTTCTTGAATGCTAAAAATGACAGCGTCGGTTATTGGTACCTTAATGGTACAAATAATCTGGAACTTATGAATAATTAAATAAATTCTGCTCAAGGGACATTTTAAAGGTGTGAACAAAGCCCGGAGTCCTTCACCACGATCAGCTTTGAAGGTGTTTGAAAATGCCGCTACTCAATGTGCCTGATTAATCCAAAGTAGTTATTTAATGAGTATGTAGCTTAGAAGTAAATTTCAAATAAAAGCAAGCAATACTGCTGCCAACTGTTTTGAGGAAAAGAGATGAATGACTGTTTTGTGGTGGTTATTAATAAAACTTATTTCCAAGGGATAAAGTTGGTTGGAGTCGCAGGTCCACAGTACTAAAAGGAGAGTAAAGGAAAAATGTGGCGTACCCGAAAAATCCCAAATCTGCTTGCCCATTGTTTGGGTTGATAGCGTAAATCAACGAAGTAAAATAAGAGGTTTAAAAAGTTAGATTTTTGCTAAAAAGGGGTTTGTCTGGTGGAGCAAAAAATAGGCCTCAAGGTGGCATCGTGTTCTCGTGAATTGCTGCCTTCCGACATCTTTGCACAGTCCCGCTAGGGTTTGAAGGACGCCCTCTTTCCTGCCAAAACTGACATGGCGCTTCAGTTAGTGAAATATTGCTTTATCACTTTGGCAAGGACGAGACATTAATATGTTTTTCATAAATTCACAGGCGTGACAATAAAATTAGGCGAGTGGTTTTAGTAATTTAGAAGCCGACTAAAAGTAGGTTATTTTAAACGTCAAAAAGTGCAAAATTTAGAAACGTCTTTTGCCTTCCAATCAGAGATGGGCATGGAAACCATATTCGACGTAAATAAATCGCACGCCAGAATACAAATAAAATGTTGAATTTAAGCTTTACCTCTTGCATTTACGGACAGAATGCATGAAATAGAACTCCGACAGGACATTAAACAACACGGCACCGTATTAATGGCCAGGGCATGTTCAGTGGCAATCTGAAATGAAAGAAAGCGGCGTTATTAAGTTGTAAAACAACAGACTTCATGTGGCCATTATTCTACGACCGACAGTAAAAATTGAGCGCATAAAATGTGCCATAATCGGCATATGTAGAGAGGGAGCGAGAGGGAGTGAGTGTGTCAGCGAGAGCGAGGGAGGGAGAGACGACTCGCCCTAGTGAGATTTTACAATCTCAGCACAACGCCTCTCAACGGAAGTCGGTGGGGCAAACCTTCTTCCCTCACAATTATTGGCGCAACAAAAAAAGAATATGGGGAAAGTGGGCCTTGCTCCCACCTCCTCATTACACCACTTGTTTATGTGATACAAGACTTGTTTGGCGTTTTAATCTGCTGAACTTTAAATAGATCGCACTGCATTGTCAATGAATCATCTGTAGGTCAGAAGCATACAGAGCCTTTAAAGTAAGATGAACATTAATTTATCAAGTATGTAATTGAAGTCGGCAGCCGTTGTGTGAGTTCTCTGTGCAGCCATTAAGTTGTTTTAAATCGTGACGCATGAATTTTGTGAGTGTTTATTTAGGGCGAGAGTATGAAAGGCGTGCGTGTCCACATCGTGGCACTCATCATGAAGCGGCATTATTCTTTGATCACCGGTCACAACCGCACATACGTACATACACTGGGAGAGAGAGAGAGAGAGAGAGAG